TTCGCTATGGATTTATTTAATGTTGATGAGCCAAATATGTAATATTTGGCTAGAAGACGAGTCCCTGCGCTCACTGGCAGCAGACGCACCGAACTGCGTGATCATATAAAATCATGCAGTTGCAATAATGCTGGCAATATTGCATTGACAGCATGAGGTGTGATAAAACCATGCTCTCCCTCCTCTTTTTCACATCTGTGCTTCTGACACTACATTGTGTTTTCAAGTGGGGGCATTTACTGCTGCTTTATAAATGCAGAAATCATTGTGAAAACGCCACATTCAGGCACGATGCTGAATGTTAGGTGAGTACATTAGCAGCAGAAACGCTTTGTATAATTTGTAAGGAAATTTTCGGTTGTCAGAGCTGATTATGAAATGTGTTTACAGTGGGAAAAACTACTGCAAAAGTGAAGCTATCAAGCTCTTGTAATATATAAGTGTGATTTTGAAAGGTTTCCCACTGATGAGATTTACAGACCAGGAAGTGCACAATAATTCAGGCTCAGTGTAATTGCACAGATTTTGTCACAGATTCATGTTTTTTTGCGGGGTGGTTTTCCACACTTCCTTGATAAGACTTTGACTTTCTATTATTCTACGTCATTATTCAAAACCAGGGGCAACCACAATGCTCCCTGGGAGGCATTTGCGACTTTGCAATTCAAAAATTATACAAATATGGCCCCCCAGTGCAGGTGATTGATGCAAATGGAGAGCTTTTTTTTTCCATTAATTAATTATAAATTAGAATTGGAATTATTCAAATATGAATTAGACACACTTTTTTTCTTTTAATTTCAAAATAAATAGGGCCTAGTGACTTTTATTCAAAAGCAGACTTTGGTGCAGCTAAGTCTGGTTTCAATTAATAAAAACTGTTTTTAAAAAAGAAAATAAAAAGCCCAAATGCTTTTAATATAAATGACCTAAATTCTCCTCTCATGTGCTGAGTGTGTTTGGTTTTTGTTTGTTTGTTTGTTGTTTTTCTAGTAGGCAGTGGGGGGAAAACAGGTTTAGTTGAGCCCAAAAAAATTTGCAAAATGCTTTTAAGTTGGGGATAAGTAGTAATATACACATTCCTTTTCCATAAATTTTTTGTATTATATTTGTGAATTCTGTTAACTTGACAAAACGCTTGCACTCCAGTGCTCTAAACCATCCATTCAAGCTCATGGCTACCCAGGAACCCATCGGTTGGTTGTTTGCCTCTGCTGCGCGTGTGTTTCTGCCCAACTTGTTTCGTTTCAAACTTGCATTTAGTTTTCTTCATCAAGATGGCAACAGAAAGCGTCCTCAATGCATAACGCCGCCACCACCGTGTTTCACAGTGGGATTGTGATCAGTGTCATGTGCAATGCACAGATCAGCTGTGTGCATACTGGAATTAGATTACACACGGGCGTATTTTAATTACTGTGAGTTAATATCTTTTATGGTTCGTGTGCCGTCAGTGGCCTTTATTCATAAGCAGCTGGTAGGGAAGGAGGGCAGCTGGAGAGACGAGGAAGACATGCAGTAAATAGCCAGGGGTCAAATCAGGGGCAGCTACACTGAGGACTGTATCCTCTGCAAATGGAGCCCCAGTTATGTTGCACTCTTATGCGGTTTAGTCAACTGTATTTTATTTCAGGGTATCAGCGTAAAGGGTAAGATATTGCTTAAGTAATTAAGGACAGGATTTTCTTCCACTTTCAGAGTTATTTTCTTCCTTTGATTTGTCTATTCAGTTAAATCACAATAACTAGACATGAAATGCAAATTCATCTTCCAACTTTTAAAGTGCAAATTCAGGTTAAATTCAGTCGCGGTGGGTGTCTGTGCCCTGAACATGTGAGTGAGTGTCAGGCGCATGAATCAGAGGCTTTTGTGTGTGCGCTTCCTATGGGACGGCGCTAGCATGTAGCATTAACGCGTCAGGCCCTGAGAGGACAAGAAGGTAGCAGAGCTGTCAGCGGCCAGCTCCCACTCCGCCTAATGAGAGAGAGGGCCGTTAATTAAAAACACCAACAGGCTGAGCTCCCCGGTGTCCCACCATCAGGACGACCCGGGGTTAAAGACATGGAGCATGGAGGAAGGCGGGCATGCTGCTCCCACATACAGCATATAGTCCAAGACTTTTAACAATAAATAGCCAGGGGTATTCAGAAAGAACAAAGTGAAGCAGAAATGGGAACAGCTATTAGAAGGCCTTGCTTTCTTTAAACTGCACTGTGTTTGTGTCTTTGGGGGGAAGAGGTCTATGATAATCGTCTAATGTTTAGCCCTTGATGTTTTCAGAGCAAACTGTGGTTCTTTTGTATCTTTGTGCTCGTGTTTGCTGCATGGCAGCAGGGTGTTTGCCGAAGCCTGCTTGCAGATATGTCTGGTTAGAGAAATGAGAAAAGAAGAAGAATCTGTCAAAGCCTAGGCATGAGTTGTTTTTTTTTTCCTGTAGTTTTAAGGTTGATGCTTGCTTCTTTATTCACCGAGGGATGTATTCCTTTGAAAAGCATCAAACCTGAAGACTCATCATATGGAAAGGCAGCATGCTGATAGTCGTTTTTAGATATTTTAAAGAGTTTTCACAGTTTAGCGCAGTATGAGGTTTGTGACAAGATGGTGCATGCAATTGGGTTTAATAGAACGATACAAGCCTCTTGTCATGTGTGGGAGAAGACTTTAGCGATACTGTGGGGGAACTCAGGGAAGCTTATCATGTTTTCATAAGACAAATAAGGGCTTGGCAAAATGTCCTCTTGTAATGTTTTTATGCTCCGCTAACACTAATTAGTCCTAAACGCCAGCCTAGATTTGTCTAGTTAAGCCTTTGTAAGTATTCTAGGTCTTGAAAACTAATGCACGAATCAGAAAACCTTTCAAATAGCCCGTTAGCTTAGCGCCTACAGCAAACTCCACCGGCCTTAAAGTCGTCAGCATCAAGGGTTAACCAGCTGATGAGTTCTCATATTTTGTACAAATCGTACGATCCCTGACTCTGTCACCATTTCTTCTTCCAAGCCGTTACTGGAAATATTGCCGCACAACTGTTTAGCTTCTTTGCTGCGAGAACCACCTGTGAGCACTGCACGAGACGCAATCAGTACAGTTATTTCTACAGAAATCGCCCATCAGAATACATATTTTTCCCAAATTACAGGCAGAAACTCGGGTAAAGGCCTTGAACTGGCACGACTGCCTCTATGAAACGTCATCAACTATGTCGGTGTGTAACAAAAACCATGAAAAATGTCACCACTTTGAAAAAGCAGGATGTCATGTAAGAATAGGGACTTTACTGTTTCTGCATTTATATCCCAAAGTTTTATGGCATACTTGAGATGAATTACAGAGGCCCTGGCTCTTTCCGTTAGGAACTAGTGGTTTTAGACCGAAGTACACACTTTTTAAAGATATTATGGGATGTTCAGTTGTATGTGTTTTTGGCACACACACACATACACACACACAGATATATATATATATATATATGTGTATACAAATGCATTAGCTGGAGTCAAATAAAAGATTTCATTGAAAGAAAAAAGAAAAAACGGTCAATAAGTCCAAAACCTTTCTTTTTCTACATTAGTGAAATATAATAAGTTTTCCAGTCTGTAACATAAGAAAGTCCAAATGCAACAAATGGTCGTTCTTCCTGGAAATACTTTTCAAGGATCTAAGTTTGCACAGCCGACAACTCAAATCCTTGGGCGGCGTTGGCGAGTATGAGGTTCACTCTTCGTGATGTTGGACTTTTTTTTTTGATAGAGATAAAACAAAATGTTTTCTGCTGTTTATTTAGTCTAAGAGTAAAAATATGTTAATTCTGACACTTGCTCAGTAATCTCACATTTCTTTTGGAACATAGAATGGTTAATGTGCTGCTCTTGTGGCTCTGAAAAGATATTCAGTTTATTTTGAGTAAACTACAAAATAAGAATCTCAAACATAAAGACAACAACCTTAAAGCAGTCACCTTTCTACTAGAAGCTGGCAATATTTAGCTCAGTTCTCACTTTAATGAGAAATATCGCAGTGTTTTAATGTTGAACACCACTAGATTGGACTAAAATAGACTAAATTAATTAAGAGGACACATTCTGCAGAGGTTTGTGGGGTTGGAGGGGTAAACAAGATAAACACCTGCTGATACTACATGAACTGAAACTGTGTTGTAACACTGCTGCCTATTGTGCAGCAGCTTTTGTATGTGTTTTATTAAACTGTCAAACACATGAATCATTAGCCTTGATCTGCAGATTGACAGGTTGTCAGCTCCGACAGTCTCTGTCAGCGGGGCGGGGGAGAGGGGCGGCGTCGCCGGCGAGGGAACGCTACACGTTCCCCGCGGCTTTGTCGTCTTTCGTGCCTCCTGCATCTCTCCATCTTCCTCCCGCCCCCGCATGTCAACCCAGGTGCTAGCAAAACCGAGGATTGTGGGTAGTCTCGGAGCATATGGAGCAGGGAGATGACGGAAAAAAATGGAGGGAGGAGCGGAGGAGGGGGGCCTCGGAGAGGGAGAGAGGGAGAAGCTGTCAGGCTGTCTATCCCTGTCACAGCAGCCAGGAGGGTGCGATGGACAAATGGATAACTGCTATTTCAGACTGCCAGGGAGAAAGCTTCGTCAGATTAAAAGCGTCGATTCTGGCATGGGCGCTCTCACACAGTAGAGCGCACAAATCGTCACACGTCCACGCGGGTTTTTTATTTCTTCCGCTTTTGCTCCCATTTGCTCCACAGTGAAATGTGTGTGGTGGGGGAAAAACAACGTTCTGTTTATTCAGTCACTAGATTGCAGTTCATTGTGCACAAAACACCCACAGATGCATAAAAGTGAATTTTCTGTATGGACAGAGTTTCAGAGCCATGGCTCCAGGCTTTCTGTGGTGTGTGTCATATTTGAGTTTTTCTTAATGATTGATGCAGACTTTATCCTCCTTATGTTTCTGACGTGTTAAGGTAAAACATAACCATTTCTCTCTGCTTCTTCCTTTTGCTGTGTGTGGTGTTTTCTTTAGGCTGTGCCTTCCTCACCTACTGTGCCAGAGAGTCAGCCCTGAAAGCCCAGAACGCATTGCATGAGCAGAAGACCCTGCCAGGAGTAAGTCATACGAACGCAACGCAGCTACAATCTGACACAAACACACATTTTTTTTACTTTTTTTTGTCTTCAAAGCATGTCTTATATTTATTTCAAATCCAGTTGGAAACTCCATGTTTTTCTGATTGAGGGGTTCACTATGAGACAAATCTAAGCGGAGCCTATCTTTCCCTTCCATTTCTCACACACATCCCCCTTTCTCTCTCTTTCTCTCTCTCTCTCTCCATTTTGACAGTCACACACACACAAACCCATAGGGAGAAAACACAAAATATCACATCATACGCGTACTATTTATATCTCCCCCTCCAGTTTGTGTAAACGGGCAAGCGCATGCGTGTGTGTGCGTGTGTGTCTGTGCGCGCGCGTGTGTGTGTGTGTGTGTGTGCTTGCGCCCGAGTGTGTGGGCCAAACGTCTGAGATAGACTGCGAGGGATGAAAACTGGGTGGGCGGATGGATGTGGGCTCTTTCCACACTTTACGTGCGCGCTCTGAATTCAGTCTGCGGCGCACATTGTGAACGCACACTTGCGTCACGGCGACGCTGTGGATGTGATTAGTCACATGTACCGTGCAGCTGCGTGCATGCCATGCTCTCTTGAATGTCGAGCTCTTATTCATACATGATGTAAAGACCCAGTTCTGGTGCTGAGATGGAGGAGAAGCTCCAGTTCATTCATTAGAAGATTCTGCATGTGGGTTTCAGGGATCTTGTGCAATGTGAGCGTTTTCTTTAGTGCATAAAGGATTTTTTTGGGGTGTGGGATTTCATGGTTGTGTGTGTGCAAGTTTGTTCTTCTTTTCTTTTTTTGTTTAGCTGCACATGCACACACCTGAATGCCTGCGTGGCGTGGCGTGGCTCGGCGCACGCGCCGGCGAGCGCTGGGAAGTTTTGATGCATTTCTGCCAGGCCCAGCTCGGTTTGCGCTGTTCGTTTTTAATGACGCCTCCAGGGAAGCTGACAGTCGCCGTGTTGAGCGCTCAGCCTTTGATGTGAGTGATTATGACATCACAGACGTGCAGTCGAGAAGAGCGGAGGAGTGGGGATCCGTGCTCTGAGTTTTTGGTTTTTTTTTTTCCTTCTTCTTCTTCTTTTACTTCCCAGTGGCATATTATTCCGAGAAAAAGAGGGAGGGAAGGAACAGAGACACATGGAAGGAGAGGAGGAGAGATTAAATATTTGGCCAAAACTAGAATGAGATTTTGTGTTCCTAAAAACTGTGCTCTGCCAATTTAATGTCTTGCCAGGGTTTGACATAACTATTTGTGGCACAAAAACGAACCTTTAAACATTCCATCTGAACATATTTCACTGAAACACAGTGGCGTGCAAAAGTATTCACAACATGTCAGCATATGTTGACCTGTTGTGTTCACAAACCTTAATGTAATCCATCGGGATATTATGTAATAGAATAACACAAAGCATTATAAAAGGGTAACATAAAAGAAAAGCCAATTATCTTACAAATAAAAGCTCATAGAAAATTACAGCTAAAAGTGCAGAACACCACTTCATCCTATATACAGACTGACATCTTTGCTAAATCTTTCTCAAATGTCTCGAGATCAGTTAGAGTGAACAGCACCTCACTGCCACTTATTAATATTTAGGTCTGGACTTTGACTAGGCCCAAACTTTGACTCGGGTATTCTGACACGTAAATGAGCTTAAAGCTACTCCACTGCCAGGTCTTTTGTAGCGTGTCTTCAATGAAGGAAAGCATTCCCGCAGCATGTTGCTTCCACCACTATGTTACGCTGCAGTCATGAAGTTCTCAGGTGATGTGTGGTTTTTCCCCCCCCCACATTTAATATTTCAATGACACCTTTTGGTCTATTTACATGTCTTCATGATGATATTTGACAGTCCAGGTATTGTCCCTGATCATGTCTAATATGTTCCTTAGTCTACATGATGCTAGTTGTTCCCAAATGTTCCCTAACAAACCTTTGAGGCCTTCTCACAGCAGCTCCATTTCTACTGTGTCTTTGTTTGGCTGCACACTTTTGGACTCTCCTCAGCAATCAAGTGACCTTTAAAAGGCAATTCTGGCCTACATTTCAATTGTATGAAAGTAAAAAGGGGGTGAATGCAGTTGAGCAACGTGTCATTTTCCTTCTGCTCCACTGTGATGCATGACTTTGCATTGGTCTAGCACATAAAATACCAATAAATTTACACTGAGGTTTGAGGCTGTGGGAAAGTGAATACATCAGCAAAGTCCTGCACTCTGTTTCAGAGTTTAACAATTAAATACTATTTAGCAATTCATTAATAGCTTATTCATTGGTAATTAATGACATATTAATTTGCGATCATTAATAGCTTAACTATTGCTTAATTCCTACTAATATCCTCTACTTTCAGCAGGGGATTGTAGTGAAGTTTGAATTAGATGAACGGTGAGTGTGAAGTAAAGAGGAGTGATGCCACAGGACAGACCCAGATGGTAGACAAACCTTGAAACCGCGCGCTCAGGGAGGCAGAACGGTAAACGGCCTTTTGTTGTTCTTAAAGGTAAAGCCAGCAAAACAGAATAAATGAGCTCGTTTGAAACCGAGCGACGACTTGGCCCTGGAAGAGGCACCGAGAGCTTCCCCCACGCTCCACCTCCGCCTCCCCTGCCCCTTCCTCGTATCTCCAGCCCCTTTCCTCTCTTCTCTATCCACACAGACCAACACAACCCAAAAAAAAAAAAAATCCCCCAGTTTTTTTTTTTTTCTAAAGCCACCTACCTTTTATTTTTTTACTTCATCTCCTGGTGTGCTTTTTTGTCCTCAAAGTTCTTCAGCACCCCTTATGTTTTGAAAAGTTTTCCACCAAGCTTTTTTCCTTTTGCTGTCAGGTGAGCTCGGGGAAGAAGGGATTCTGCTTCCTGCTGGAAACGCCTGGTAAGCGTGGCTGTAGGCTGTTGATGTAGTCACAGACAGAAATACTGAGTGGTGAGAACACGTGTTGGGTGAGGCTCGGCGTCTGTGGTGTCAGGAGATACTTTTGGATAAACAAGTGGCAGGCGAAGATAGTAGTGAGGGATGATTCATGATAAATGACAATGTCTCTGAGCATTTCTAATTCGTTTCTGCCACGTAGTGCCACATGTACCCTGGGAAAGTTTGATGGATGCACTGAAACAAGTGGTACCATTAAAAACGTTTAAGAAATATAAATAAATAAAAATAAGCCACGGCACTGAAGGGGGTCTGAAAAATCAAAAGTAATCTCTCTGATGTTTTGCATCCGCTATTTGTTCTCTTCTTCTTTGGACTTACAGAGCGTATTATTCTAAACAATGGAAGCAATTTGGACCAACTAGTTTAACCACAAGCATAGCAATGAAAATGTGACCATTAAAATAAGAATATGACAGCAGACCAATAAAAAAACTATTTAATATAAAAGTGTGGTCTATTTTTTAAAAAAAAAACATACTTTCAATCTCACAAACCAACTTAATTGGAATGTATGTTCTCATTTATTACATATGACTGCATTATGAATCAAGTCTCTTTATAATTTTATTAAATAACTATGATGCAAAGAAATCATCATTGTAACTATTTTTAGGGAAATCAAAAAAAAATCAAATCAGGATTTTAATTACCATTGACTTAAAGACTTATAGACATACTGTGGGGAGTGAAGCAAAAGCCTAACAAGGCTCCGTAACAAAAAAAAGAAAGAAAAAGAAGCACCCAGTGAAACAATTATAAAGCAACTATTTTCATAAGTTCTTTGAAGCCTGGCCTCTCTGCAGTTCTGAAGGGCATCATCTTCTTTGTTATTAAGTAGGCCAATGATTTAGTGATGGCTTCATCTTGACTTGCACTGAGCACGTCTGCACTTCTTTTCTTATTCATTTTCTCTAACAAACTTAATTCTCCACTCCCTCTCGCCTCTTTGATCTTGCCTAATACAAAACTGGGGAGGAGAAAATGCTGTCAAATTAGGAGCCGCGGTAACCTAACTTGAACAACACATTTAAGGTTTCTATGAATTAATTTCTATTCAAGAAAAAGCGAACCAAGGTTACAGTATGCGACTTTATAGGTCTTCCATTATAACGTTGCTCATGCTACATGTTTTGTCTGTTTTTCTTTTTTAATCCTCCGGGGTTAAAGCTACACTTGGTAGCATTCAGTCACCCGATGCCAGATTTTCCTTTCGACTTTACTGCTCGGCGTGTCTGAACTCTTTCTGAGCCCCTGCAGCCAGCTCCTAAAGACATTTCATTCAACGTTTACCCTCCCGCTGACTCCTTATGGATATGGGATTTACCAGATATATCGTCATTGACTCTCTGAGAGCCGCACAGTCTCTCAAGCATTGCTGCGTAGCAACTGTAAACTGGAAGTTTGCCACAGTTCTGAGTCATCATGTAAATGAGTTCTAAAAATTTATGAAGTGAGTCCGTTTCAACTTAAGCTCGCGACCAACCGTGGGGAAAACTGTAGGACATGTTGAGTCATAATGGGGGGAGGGGTCAAGTTAGAGGTGATGTCCTTTTGCAATGCCTTGCAATAGTATCTGCACCTCTTGAACATTTTTACAATGAGGTTCTCTAATTATGAAACGGCGTAAGTGTAATTTCTTCCCATCGTATCTTCAGTCTGTCCAAAGCTGAAATTCCCATCTTTCTGATGGTCGTTTTTGTGTTACATAAACCAACAAGAGAAGAACATGTCTGCATCCCGAACTCGCCTGAAAGGGGCAAGACGTTTAACTTCCATCCGCAGAATTTTCATGATTTGCTATGCAGTCTCCAAACAATGACAGTGAACTGTGTGATTTATCTTACCACCGCTGAAAAAAAAAAAAACACACCATCTACCAATATGACGGGAAAAACTGAGTATTTTTGTTTTGCAGTTCTGGGATTGGGTGTGTGCGACAGACCTATTAGTAAAAAGCGGGCACATCTAAAACATCGCATCCTCCCCATGATGCTTGTGATTCTGTACTCCAGTTTCAGACTACAACAAGAACCATTAAAAAGCTC